ACGCTTTAGTCGTCATATGTAAGGCACTAACGCATGAACAGAGGTAAGTGCTGTGAACAGCTTTTTATACGCCAGCTTCTCCTTAGTAGTAAGGGGTTTAGGTGAATCGGACGTCGTTATGACACATGACTTCTGCAAACATGGAACCAGGACGACCACATGGTTCTCAGCTTCCAGCAGTAAGTTTAGTCTGTTGACTCCCAATCACTCCAGAACACACATTCAGACCGTACAGTCGTTGTTTGTATACTTCCGTGGTAAACCTAAGATTTAGTGTGAATAACAAATCGAAAAACAGGAGTACAATTGTTTATTACGCCTTTCTTCATGAACGGCTCCTTAAATAGACTGATTGCAGCTGACTACGGATAATCGCAGCTACACGCCAGACCTGTAACTCCCCAATCGATGCTTCCAATCACTTGAAAGAGTTAGAAAGGTCACTTCTATTCCTTCAAAAGGGATGCTGTATCCTCGTGATTCGCTAGACGCCAGTTCAGACAAGGATTCCTGTTAATCAAGGTGCGCAGTTAAACCAGAAATTTAAGTAGGTTAGACTAGTTCAACCTGAAATACATGGAACTTGTTCCAGTTGATTCTGCGGATCAAAAAATGGCATAGATGTATCAAAATGTAGTAAAAACCGTAATCCAGATCACCGGGCGGAATAATTTCAGCAAGAGGCTAGTTGGTCGTCTGCTCCGATATCTGCTAAAGTCGGTTTCCTGTCAGTGAGTTCTCTCTTGCTTTGACGAGGACATTTGAACACTTTTTGAAGCACACATTGAAGAAAGCCAATGACAGTAAATCGCTTCGTCTTTGCTCAAAAAGGTGCTGATTCAACTGTTCTAATGGTAGAATTACTGGCTTCAAAAATATCGTAACAAACCTGTTGGTGTCCATGATACTGCAGCACCTGACTGCCACATAGACTCAAATCCTGGACCACCAAGCGGAATTTTCACACGGCACGGTTATTTTGATCTCATTACATGTTTTAGCAAACGGTAGCAGCACGCAGGCAACCACTTATTCCCACTGTTTCCCTGAAACGCTGAAGGGGCTTTTCTTACCATCTGCACTCCCTTGTGCCGACATTTTACCCTAAGGTCAATAGTTAGTCCTTCAGTTAAACCCCGATAGCTCATAAGGCCGTGCTGACGATAACTATATTCCGTAGAGCGTGAGGACAATGCAGCCCGGATAAACTAGTGCAAGGGGAAATATCGCTGAAGAAAACCATGCTACAGAATGGTTATCCAGAAAAGTTCTCGTAATTTGCAGTACGACCGGATTACAAACATTCCCAATTCATTCAGCGAGGAAGAAGTATATATCCTTAGTTTCTTCAGTTCAAAGCGACCCCGTCGGCACCAACATAAGACGCACGCTTAGTTTTGCGTTAACTCGCCTCCATACCGCAGCCGAGATACGTCTCATGCCGATAAACAGAGGATTCACCCTGTACGGCCATGGCTCTGGGCTGTCCAATTCATTTGCGCCTCAGGTAGTGTACGAAACCTGCAGCTGCGGAGACGATTGCATCTACGAAACAGACAGATAACTAGCAAAACGTGCGGCAAAATACACTACAAAGTACGCGGCCGAAATGCTGTCAGTTAAAACCTTCGGAGTCAAAGGTCAGATCGTCAGTAGCTAGATATATGTTAGATGACAGCCATTAAATTGAATCGGTTAGCAACGCGAGCCCCAAGGCTTTAGTGATGAGCAAATATCGCTAATCATATCAGACCACCCCAAAACAATGCGCAGAACAGCATGTGAAGCAAACTTTAGCCACCAAAATGAGTAAAACGGATGTCGTCTTATTGCGGCATGTACCTTCCTTCAGTTCTGACGAGGTGGATCAAGACGACGCAATGCCTCAAGTCCTCTACACTGTTGGGCGTTGCTAGGTATCGCAACCTTCCCGGCCGTATTCACATTTTACGGAATATCCACCTGTCTTTATCGGCTTGAAAAATACCCACTTACTACTGGTAACCAGGATAAAATGTTTGCAGTGGAATTAACGCAGTCTGCCAGCAACATTGAAGAGCATCTTCAGTGTACTGTTTGGTCAAGAAAGCCTTGCTGCTCCCCATATAATGGCTCTGTACTCAAGGAGCTGTGATGATGGCTACAGATTTTCCGGAATTTTGGTTGAAGACGGCATCACATCAGCGTAGCAGTCCAGTGAAACCGTGACGACGCAGAAAGGCAACCTAAGTTAACGATCGTTTGTGCGATGGATGACAACACACAAGAGTTTACGGGCAGAAAACGATCATCACTAACTTCATCATCATCATCATCATCATCATCATCATCATCATTGTTAGCTGTAAAATCCACGTACTTGTCGTACAGGGCCGTAGCTGGGGTAAATAACTGCGCATATGAGGTGGGACCTGCTAAATTGGTGCGTAAATACGGCACCGTCAGTGAACTGTTAAATGAGAGGATTGGGAAGGAGCTATGCATTCAAGGCAATAGCTTAGATGCACGAGCACCATTGAGGGCGTGACTGGACCATGTCTGACAATGTCCCTTTAATGTGGCCCGTCTCGGGGTCCCCATCCGGGAAGACGGCAGTGACCAGCGCAACTGAGTTTGCTGGTAATGGCTTCTATACTTCTCTGCGAAGTCAGTGCTTGACCGCCTCTGGCTCGTTTCCACCCTTCACGTGGTTGTGCGAAAAGAACCCTGCGAGAGAGTCGGAATAGGTACTAAGAGTGAATACTAAGAAGAATTCAGGTAATTCATCCACTCAGTGTATGAAAATGGATAATTCAAGTGGGGGTCCCACACCCTCTGGGAAACGAGCACCTTACCAAGGTGATTCTGGAATACGAGAATAGTTGGCCATATATTGTTTGCTACGACCTTGTACCTTTCTGAGTAGCCCAACGAATTTACGTAGATTGTAGTGGCCCCATTACCGTAAAGCAGTCTTAAGTAACATGCATGGATTCAATCCATTTTTTATTAAAAGACCTTTTACTCGTGAATCTTCATAAATTGGTAGATCAGAGTGCTGAGGTCGACTAAAGACTGAAGACCAAAGACTAAAAATGTCCCTCGATTAATAAGTATTTTGGCTTGCATTCAGTCAAGTCCAAAATGTTTCTTGCTGCTATATTATTTCAAGCCCAGAAGAGAACTTCATTCAGTTCACGTATTGAACTACTCTTTCAAAACCATTTCCTCTTGACGCATATTTATTCTGTCCAAAGAGTACTACTCAAGTGTAGGTTGCATCTAATAGTAGTTGTTCTTGTCTAATGTTATGATGATTCCACACAGTATGCTTTAATAGCGGCATTTTTAGATTGATAATACGCATGAAAAAGATACTCAAATGTTTATACCTATTGGTATGCCTCACTCTAAATGACAGGCATATCTGTTAAATTAATGTATAGCAGTTATGGATAAAAAGTTAGTTAAGAGGAACGGAACTGATAAAATAACGGCCATATTGATTGACTTACGGGTTTAGTTGCGAAATGTTACCGATTAACTTCTCATGATTTAGCATAACTGGGTCCCACGGAACATGGAGAAATTCTGAAAATATTCGAAATTTCGAATATACGGTGACAACTGCAGTGCTCCTGATGCTTACCGATACAGAGCAGTGGCTACACATGCAATTCCATCTTACGAAGTGACAGATGGTTGGTACTTATACCATTTTGATGCATGTTAGACCTTTCATATTGTACCCAAAAGACAAATTTAGGATGTGGTTTAAATGTGAATGTCCCCATTCCCAGAATCCAGCGGATTTTCCAACTAAACATCTTAACACAATGCGAACAAAGAACCGCGGACAGTAAATAAAGTGACGCCCGGTGTTTTCCCGTACAAGGTTTATTCTGTCTTTGTGCAAGTAGAGAAAGTCCCTAAAGAATCTTTTTCAACATGAAACATCAGCAATGCGCATCTCACCTAACCACAGGGAGTTTCGAACCTGCGACCTCTTATTTAAGAGAATAAACACTTAAATGGCTTTACAGCACAGGTCCTCTTCACAAACAGGATGAAATGTCAGTTGAGGATTACTAAATTGTCTCACACTACCAATAACAAAATGAAGTTTAGCGAAATAGATAAAGACCCACAAAGTTGGAGATCCTGTATATTTGTTCCCAATCAGTCCCTTTTGTAGTCTTTACGGTACATAGAAGGCGTCACTGAACAATACCATATACTCACTGGTTTGCTTTCAAATGAGTCAACAATGTGTACATAACGAACAATGTCCGTTCGACGGCAATTTTTGTAGGCGGGTGGCTGGGGTAGCTTCAGGTCACAAATTGCGGATGAGGACTGTTTTACGGGGAAAGGCTGATAACATCTGTGTGAAAGACGAGGTTGACCCTAATTGCGGTTCAGTTTTTAAGGGCGTTGTAATAAGGCTTACCAGCGCGTTTTATTCTCACTCCAGATAATGCAGGAATGTGTTGATGAGTAGGGCACAATACAAGCAGATGTTAAGAAAATCATTCTGGAAACAATTTTTATACACTTCTGTTTTTCTATCTGTCTGCTTTATATGGCCAGGAAACTAATGTCCAGATGAGCTGTTCAAGAAGCATTTGAAAGCAAGTTACAACCAAGCTGCTGCATAGCATGCTAGCGAAAGATACCTAGATACTTTTGCATCCTAAATGCCCTCATCTTAGTGGAGTGCTTTTCGGAATAGTCCGGAATTCGTCAACGGCTTGTTTTTGGTCCGTTCCGACAAGAGTTGTGTGGCAGGATTTCTTAACATATCATGTCCAAGCATATATATTGCACGTAGTACCATAAGAACCATACGGTTTTTACTCGTGTATCTGATGTGAAGTACCGTGAATGTGAGTATAGTGATTATTTTGCTTCACTTCCCTGTTTTATCGAATTGGCTTATCACAACAGTACATCGATGGTTGTGCAATGTTAACGGATGGGTAAGTGCCCAAAACTGAACTGTCACCCACTCAATTTTCTTCAGTGCGTGTTTTTTGTTATCAGCGTCTGCAGTGACCTTTGAACGGTAGTCACCAGGTCCGTACATTTGAGCCAAGATTTTCAGCCACATATATAGAGAAACCAAGGTATGGTATGTGAGTGAACTCTATGTGAGTCGGAGCAACAAAGGATTTTGAACTATGGAAGCTCACACGCGTACTTATAAGTGTTCAGTAACTTAACTGTTCAAGTGGAATTGTCCAATGCCTCTCTGCCGACTAGGTCCGGAATTCCTCGAAAATGACACAAGACTAGAATGAAGGTTACCAATGAGGCATGAAGACTGCTTCTATCGTTTATCCTATGCTCTGAGAGGCGCGTACCGTGGTTGCATAAGATCACATCACAATGAAGTACACAGAGATGTGACAATTCCCCAAATGAATAGTCGCCATTTTCGGGTGTAGAATTAACGGCTTCATGTCTAGTCTAGCCTGAGACCTTAAGTAGGATGTGCACAGATGGATATGTATGATAGTGATGGACCAATGTGCTGCTAGCATGATTTATTAAAGGCAAACAAGACACCAGTCGTCGAGCTCGCGTAGATGGCACTGTGAAAGTTTAGTCAGGAAATCACCGATAACTTCCGCCCAAAAACTTGTGATAAAATGAACACTCCGTATTCGGAAATCAGGTTTTGATCCATTAAAATTCAACAAAAATATTGTGCACATGATGGTATATTTTTCTGATACCACGAAGATCATTCATCGGCTAACTCAAAACCCAAATGTGAATCCAACCAAACTACTAAAGTAAGCTAATGCAAATGACCGTGATTCATATAGTGATAGAACCAAGTTCTGTTCTTGAATGTGGATGACTTAGATCTGAATTTGTCACACGGTGAAATTTGACCGGAAGCTCTGTCAACCCAACACAGTTATTTTTCATTTATCGGGAAAATTTTCATCATTCTTAAAGAAAATCACCTCCTATTTGCATTGACTGTGATAAGTCCAGTTAAGTGAGCAATGTGCGAAACGGAACAAGTGTTTACTGTGGAAATGCGTTCAGTTCTCAGGATGTGAGGTTTCATCGTCAGGTCTATCGGTTGAAAACAATAAGGCTCTGAAAGGATTCCGGATTACCCGCTCATATGAATCATTCAATGCAGCAGCTAACATGACAAGTGTCTGAAATTTTTCTCCCGGATGAATAACGGTTTAGTGTTTGGCGTTCAGTTTAGAATGGTTTAGTAGACACAAACGCGACCACAACTTTTATACCTACTCGATGAACACGGTTGAAAGAAATAAAATTAATCAGAATAAAGATTCTAACCGTCAGAGCGACCATGATTGTCCGAATCCACCTACCCACAATCTGTTCAGATATCCCTACGTACACCGGTGAAAATGCGGTCAACTAGTCAAATATTAGATTTAGTTGCTCCTTCAGGGTCAAGCTGAGAAAAGAGGTGTTTAATCATCATAAAAATCACTGCCCCCTGAAAACCTTGATCCTTCAGAAACTTCCATGTTCTCCCACGAAAATATTTGCTTACCTGTCAACACCTTTAGTTCCCGTTCTGGATTGAGCACAAGCAATTCGTATCGAACAATAATGCATCGTTCAGAACCAACTCGGTGGCAAGCTTGAATGATCTTGAGGTTGTCTATCATCCATGTACGCAAAAAGCCATGCAATACTTTTGTCGAACGTGAGCTCCACCTTCGGAACGAAAATGAATGAACCGAACAAATTTAACTAAAAGTGAATGAAGCAATCACCGAGTCCTAATGACAAGTTGTGGAGGTAAATGTTTTTAAGGTAACTTTGACCGTACATTTCAAAACGGCTGTGGCCAAAGTAGTTGTCAAAAACACTGCAGATAATCCACAGTTTCTTAAAATTAGTTATGCTAACTGAAATCCAGGTCTTAGCAATGCGGCTGGTGCCAGGTGAAGTGCAAACCATAGTTACTGATCTCCGAGTGCTTGACGCAACCCTTTCATGCAACTCGATACTTTACGAACTTGTCAAAAAACACGTTCTGCGTCTTTTTACCGGAGTGACCGGGCAAGACGAGAGCCAGAATCTAGTTCCAGGTC